GTGGCACTATCATACTTGACTTAAGATTTTTGAGCGATGTAATTAATCTGATTAAAATGAATATAATAAATTGACAGTTTTAGACAAACTATCGAATGTCCTAAACATAGCGAATCGCCCATATCGATTTTCAATATCGTTTTTCCCGATCTTAAATTAATTGCACTTCAAAACTCTAAAGTCCGATGATATGCATCTCTAAAGGGTAGAAAAATAAAACATAGATCACACGTTCTGAGCAAATATTTTGCAAGGAATGTTATTTCTCTTCGATTGATTGACATGTTACCCTTTGCTTTTTCTTAAACCTCCATAGAGAAAAAGACGTGCGAGAGACGCTGTTTACTTTTTGCTCCAACAAGTTACTCCAGTTAAGACCTGAACAGAAAGACAGAAGTTTTCCAGTCATAAGACGAAAGCTAGGTGACAGGTACAAGAATTGTTATTGGTAAAGGAAAGGATCTCTGATAGAGTTTCAGCTCACCTTTAAAAAAAAATGAATATATCCTTTACGCAAGTTAAGTTGCTTTCACTTTGTGAAAACAAAACTAACGTTGTAATATCAGCGTCAAGAAACGCCATGATTTTGTTTTTATTCTAGATGACATCTACATTTTACAATAATTTGTTAATATCATCCATTTTTCCTCATAAAACTGAAAAATGTTCAATCATTTCACCACCAACTAAACGTCATAGTTTTCTGAATGGACTTGCTTTGTTACTTAATGGCTCAAACCAGTGTACATCCGTGTATCCATGGTTCGAGAAAAAACAAATATTAATAGCGCGTAATGAATCAATAACAAATGACGATGAAAACTATTTTGATTGCTGTTTTGGTTTAATACGAATATATTCACGTTTTTGTTTAACGTTAGATGAAGAAGGCATGTCTGATACGTATTCAATACTAAAACAGACTATATTTCAATATAACAAGGACAAATGTATCAAACGTATATTGAATCCATTGTTTAATGATGCTCTTTCAAATTTTGAAAAATTACCTAATTATGATACCGATAAAATATGTGAAAATATTAGTATTGAAAAACAAAAAAAAGGTTCGGCTGATTATTATTATTTAACAGAAAAAAGTATGCCTTTAAAAGGATATATTTTAGTATTATTCAGCTGGATAAAGGACA